GAGAGAGAGAGAGAGAGAGAGAGAGAGAGAGAGAGAGAGAGAGAGAGGGAAAGGGAGAGAAAAAGAGAGAGATAGAGAGAGTATTAAGAGAATTGAGAAGTTTTGCCGGATTACGAATATTTGTTACGCGCACCCACACACACGCACACACACACCCACACAACTCTTTCGCACGTTCTCTCTCCGCTTTTCTCTTTTGTTCGCCACAAGAGCATCGGCACACCGCCGCCTACCAACCAACCAACCAACCACCCACGATATAATCTACAAAAGCAGAGCGTAGCTAAAACTGTAAATTATTTCTCTTCTTCTTTTTTTCTTCGGTTTTTGTTATTCAGTTTGTTTTTATTTTAATTTTTATTTATTTTCTTTTTTTTCCGCTTTTGTTGTTGTATTTTTTTTTATTTTTTTTTTTTTATAAATATTGGAACCCACGCACAACGTTTTGCATATAGTTTGCGTTGGGTTACGCGTTTAAAACCTGATGACTACCGCTAAAAGACGCGCAAACAGTGGCGCGACAATTGTTGCTGACAACCATTATTCACAATCGAATCAACAACAACAACAACAACAATTACAACAATTGCATCAACACTCAATAAATTACCAAGAACAACAACGACAGCAACCACATCATGGACTTAGTCAGCAAACATATCAACAACAACAGCAACCTCTACACACCCCACAGCCCCAACAGCAGCAACAACAACCGCAAATTATTACCGACCATAGTCAACAACAACAATATAATTATCAGCAAATGCCATCTAATCAAAATTATAGAAATTCCGGAACAAATGAAACCTCATTACTATCGTCCTCAACAACATCTTCATCATCATCCTCGCCGCCATCTACGGTGCGCAACGAATGTTCGGTGAAGCTACCACTAGATATTTTGTAAGTAAACTAATTTTCTTGACTAATTTTTTTGCGCTTATGCCTCATAAGACATAAAGCTTGCCTATGTATGCACTGGGTTGCCTTGTAGGTCTATCCAGACCTGCTCGGACCGACCCTTAAGCTAAATAAAGTACCGTACTTTGTTGCGGTCTGATCTTTTTTATTGCTGTTGATAATTGAAAGCTTGTAGGTTTATTGGAGCGTTTCATCACGTTCACTCATCAACCTAAAGTTTCCCCAAAATACAATTTTAGGAACTATGGGCAGTCTTAGTTAATTCGAAATTAAAGTTTTTAACCACTAATGGACTAAATTTACAACTATCGATTGTTACGACCGGACAATGCATCGAACTTTAAATTAGTCCCATGAGTTGGGACAATAATCGTACTATTACGGACATACGCTTCGCGGGGGGAAAGAGGATTTCCTGTGGTGAAAATACCTAAACTTGAAGGAATTACAACAACTACATAGCTGCTATACGTCTCTGAGAGGTTTCATGCATTACCTATAGCATTTGTGATACGAAGATGTATTAAGTTTGTGCGGATGTATGCAGCATTCAGAAGCGTTTGAGATAGGACCACCATTTATTATAACGATCGATTCAAAATCATTTTGAGTTCAAAATAAATTTTGGGTCGATCTAAGTTGTCTGTCCGTGTGTCCGTCTTGTTTTCTTGTGTTCAATCTATAGATTCTAATTTTTGAGATACATTGATGAAATTTTGGTCTACTTACGAATGCTATTGAAAATGGTTCGGATCGCACCACTTTCCGATCGCGTCCCATATTACATGCTGTTATGAAGACACGTTCTATGCTACATACCGCAAAGTAGAGCATTTAATGATGGGCTGTGATCCACGGCAGTGCTTTTCCTTGTTTTAATTACAACTTGCCCTTGTTTTAATGGTGCCTGTGGGTGGTGTTTTTCTTGACAATTGCTGTTATCTACCCATATTCCGCCTAATGCAGAAGATATTCTTCAACTTATTATCTGCTTAGGGGGGATAGATTAGTTAATTCAATAGTTTATCGGTTAAATTATATACGTAATTATTATAATTTAATTAATATTTTCAATCTTGTCGAATGGCATTTCCTAACAAGGCTTCAAGGTAAGGCTGTTGGCTCTGAATAAGACACGAATTTTGTCAATCATGATATAATATAAAATATCCTTTCTCAACTATTCCGGGCCTTTTTTTCCCCAATTCTGTGGTACCTAATAACGATGATGCGGATGGAAGGTGCATCTGTTAAAGACACAGAAAAGCATTATAAGTAATATTCATCCGGTCAACGTCTGTGCATTGATACGCCCACGTTCAAAGACTTGCTAAAGAAAAGTGAACATTTGCTCTTACTTGAAAAGATTAAATTACATTCGACTAAGGGCAAGATCGGTCTGCACTTATCTCCACAAGGAAGAAAAATTTCAAATAGTTTTGTCAGTAAAGGTGAAGTCCACTAATGCAAATTATAAACCGTTATAATGTTTTTTTTTAAGGTCCACCTTTCCACATAATATAATGGTTATGCCACCAGTGATGCAAATAACATTGATTGTAAGTTCACGGAGTGTTTGGAGTGTGCTATCCTATAGGGATATTCCGCATAATTTTCAGATTCCACGTACTTTGAACTTTTCTCCTCCTAATAAGGTTATGGACCCAGGAGATGTATAGGATGTTGCACCGTCTGGTCAAAGGCAAACGTTATTCAAATCAGAATCATCTAACACATGTTAGAAACAAAGCTGCTGCCTTTTAAAAACGTAGAGGCCACCTACATCTCCAAATCGTAAAACACACTAAACTCTTAATTTTTGTGCATGTAAAAGTGTTTTGTCGGGAGCTTATTGGTTTTCTTTACATTAAATGCGATAATTTTGCTTATTCAGGGAGTTATGAAACATGCGCACACATATTTCGAATTAACTGAGCTCTCTATCTTCTGATGTACCCGAAAATTCCCAACGATTTGGAAAAATTTGGAAAATTTCAAACAAAAACCAGTGAAAATTGAATTCTCTTTTAGCCACTTATCATAATTTGTTACTAGGTCTATACATCTGCTAGTAAACGGTTCCAGTTAGTTTTTCGCCATCAAAAAAAGCCTTAAAATGACGACAGCTTTCTTTTACATCGTTTTTAATCTTAAATCTTCTTCGTATGCTTCCATATGTCATTACAACAACAGCAATAATCAAAGCAGACATAAGTTTGGAATAAATACACACGAACTTGTTCACTGCTGATGAACTAGTTCTTAACATTTTATTAATGCATCGAACTACCACATAGTGAAGTAGTTAAGAAGTGCGATAACATGAAATCGACATAACCGGCTTCAGTTCTCAACGCCCTTGACCACACTTCAATTACAATTTGTGTATAGACGTAATTGCAGTGAATGCTATGGCTAACGTCGTATAAACGTAACTCTTGCGCACGGTGTACATACTTTCCAGATTGGGGCAATCCCGCGTCCCTCTTGCTCGCACCATTTCTTTCTGACCAACAACGTATTACTGTAGGCCCAGGCGGCATCCACTGAGTGAATAGTCACATTAAAAAAAGAAAAAAGAAAGAAAGCCTTGATTTCCTTTCGACTTAAGGGTCAATATCAAGTTTTAATTTCAGTTTTTCTCAAATCCAAGCTCCTTTTTCCTTGCACCTAGACATAATCGGCTACCTGGACGCTGTGGCCCGCAATGAACAGAAGAGGAAGGATTGAGAATATAGAACAGAGAAAAACTTAAGCCCTGCCTTCAACACTTTCGCTAACGTGCTATATAAGTCCCTTGATAACTCATTTCAATTAAATTTTCTCATAACCTTTCTCGTAACCTGTAACCATTTGTAGTGCAAAGGTGTATTAAACTTGCATGGATAATAGTAATATCCAGAATGACTGGAGATAGACCAATCTTTTGTTATACCAACCGTGTCCGTCCATCTTCCTGTCTCGAGTTCAACCCACAGACCGCAATTTTTGAGTTATTTTGATGAAACACTGGTACACTGACAAGTTTTGGTCCAAAGACAAATGCTATTGAAAATGGTTTCGATCGTACCACTTTTTCGACTATGGGACATATTTCTTAAAAAGTCGCCATATGTTTAACTGTATTAAGCAAAGTGAAGTAGAGTATTTGATGGCGGGCCATGTTTTTTTGTTCTAATCAACATACGATTCGATTGATCACATAATTCGCTACGTCTATGATTGTTAAAGCTTATTTACAGAGTATAAAGATGTAAATCTTCTTTGCAAATTTCCTTTATATATATGTTTCCTGATAAGCCTAAGCAAGCTAAGCGACGAAATTATTGCCTTGTACTATATCATCATCCTACGATGAAACAATTAAGGCTTGTGTTAATCAACTCGAAACACCCACTTACAAATAACATTCGTGAATACTAAGATTTCTGTTCTATGCTTTCGCTTAGTACTTAGTGCAAAGGCAAATAATTTATTAACGCAAAAGTGCTTGTGCTTCCTTCTCTGCCTTTTTAAAGAAAACAAAAACTTTTACATAGATGTTGATAATGTTTATCTTACATTTAAGAAGAATTCATTAATTTTATAGCGGAAGCGTATACATTTAAATTTATGTGGTCGCTATTGCAGCTGCTGAAATTTTTAAAAACAAGGAGCAAAATAATACCGAAATTTATGAGCTTTGAAGAGACTGTTTATGAAAGTTGTGGACATGATAGTCAATCGATTCGAACCTTTTTGAACTGAACATGAAAGTGATTCTAATGTATATCTGGGTCTTGCAAATATCTCTATCCGATTAAAAGTTTTAGTTAAATATATGAAAAAATTTTTCCTGCTTTAGAGAGATATTTAAGTTCTTATGCATTGTGGGCGTATCTGCAGACAGATAATGCATATTTTTCAATTTTGTATTCCTAATCGATCAAGGCATATTTGTGCCAAATTTTAACTTCTTGCTTTCACTTTTAAAATTGTGACGATTTCCGAAAATCTAAAATCACTTTATTGATTTTCTTAAGATTTCTTAGTTAAGTTCGTATCTTATCGTAAGGGAAAAATATAACCTTTTTTATAACGTTACAAATATATATTTATAGAAAAGTTATGAAAAGTTAATGAACCTTGACTGAACTGCCGAACAATCAAAGCAACGTCATCGATCGATTTGATCAACTTATTTACATTAATGTCAGGCTTTATTAAAATTTCTTCTTGCTTGTGTCTATAGGTAACGCTTGGCAAGATCTCAAATGTTATCAAACTTTCGGTACATTTCTTTCCCTCTACCCTCTTATTATTTTTAGTTAATACTTGAAATTTTGGAATATTCTCCACAATAATAAAAATCGAATCGAAAATCGAAAAAATTCTTTCATTGCTTATGGCAAAGTTTGAAAACTTCGTTTATGACACTTTGTGTATGAACGTTCCTGACAAAAACCTGGAAAATCCTTTACAAACAATTTCAAGTTAATAATAATAACTAATTCCCAAACAGTTTTTATTGTGACGAAATTTATTGGGAAAGTCCTAGTAATTAAGCAGTGCCATGACTTTTCAACCCTTAACACGTTAATCCTTAGCTCTACCATCCTGTGTTGAGTTTCATTTACTTCGCTAGGATAAAATGAAAAAATACGTGATAAAGTTATAGTCACAGTTAATTCTAAGATTATTAAAGAAACTTGAATAAAAATTAATTATCAGATTAAGGTTCAACTTAGCAATTGTCCTGCATATCGTGAATAAGTTAATATTAATGTAACGCATACATCGCTGAAACACTCTATAATCTTCCATTCCCCTCACTTGACTGTATAGTATGAAAAACGAAATTGATTTCTCCAAGTTTCTGCTAGTGTGAGCCTCATTCAGTTAACGCTACGATTTCCTTAGTATTTCCAGAAATTTAATTTTCACTTAAAATGCACTTTACTTAGTTCGGTTAGAATAGGTTCGTAACTGCACAGAGGTACCTA